TGTGTACACATGTGCCAGAGTAGTTGCCGTTGCAGAGTGTTGCGAAACTGTTGCAGAGCCGGCGTGACCTTCACGGTTGCACTTGAGGCCTCGGATGGCATCCCGGTCACACAGATGGACAGCCGCGACATTTAATTCCTGCTCCTGCCTGGCTTGTAATCCCTTGAGGAGAAAGGGCTCAAGCTGATCAACCGCTTGGTTACCACCTGCGAGAGAGATGCAGCTTGTCTGTTTTCGTGCCCTGTCAAATCAGGGAATAACAGGGAGCTGCATCTGCTCCGAAGGCATTCTACAAGCTCATCTGCCTCAAAATAGCACAGGCCGACCTCTCTCCAAGCGCTGGCTTTCATGTCACTGTGGGACTAGGACTGGCCTCCGAATGAGATGCCTTCCTTCAAGAGTGTGTTCAAAGAGCCCATTCCTCGGGGTGCTGCGGTCTTGCTCTTTGCTCTCGATGCCTCTTTGGTCTTTCTGGGAGATCCGTGTTCAAGGCTTTGCTTGTGCCTAGGTTTGATGACGAGGGCACCGGCATGCTCCAGGACTCTGTGCTGGCCCGCGCCCTTCAGCACTGTCACTGAGCCCCGTCGCACCCCGCGGTCTTTGGAAAGCCGCTCTGCTCAGGTCCGCAAGTTCGTCAGTTGCGGCTATGAGGAACAACAGGCCAAGCGCCGACACCTCGGTGATGCACGGTGTCTTTGGTGCCAAGCTTCGCTTCTGGAACGGGCAACGGCTGAAAGATCATGAGCTAGAAGGTGCTGCGGTGGCCATGAATCTCAGCCAGAACAAGAATGCTGTCGCATCGAGCTAAGACCAGCCGTACAGTGGTTTGATCCTTTTTTTTAGATCCTTGTTTTAATGAGGACTGGACCGAGTTCGTGGCTGCCAGGACCTTGGGCGGTGGGTTCATGAAAGTGAAGTGCTCACTATGCTTGCAGCACCTCTTCTGTCACTTCTAGACTGCTCAGAGACCCTGAGGCCTGCATCGACCTGGGTAACCCGAAGCTGGAACCTTCCATCCATCTTATCTTCCACAATGCCGACAAGGACGGGCTTCCGGACAGTTCCAGGTTCTGTCGTGTTCGCCGCACTGCGCACTGCTCGCCCAGGACAACGACGGTCTTCTTTCCATGGAGGATCTGCAGTCTCTTCTGCCGGAGGTGCGCCCGGCCTGTGTGCCGTAGCCTACCTCAATTTCGTGTAGTTGTGGTTATGAGGTTTTGACGGTTATGATTTATGACCTGTTATGACCTTGTCGTCATCATCATCGTGTTCATCCAGAGCGCGCATGGGGGCTCTTCATAGTGTTAGGCAGCTCCGCCAACGCTGAACACGCTTGCTGCCACTCCTATGACTCGAGTATCTACTTGGTATCCAAGAAGAAACGTTGCCGGTCGCGATAGTGGCAACAGCAAGAAGCACAAGAGTGGTACTAACAACAGTCCAAGCACCTGCAAAACGTCGCGATAAGTATGTGTCATCAGATCCCTCCTGTCCGTCTGCAGCTTGCGACTAGGATCTGGCATTGTTCCGACCAGGCCATGAGCCAAAGGTTCTTGGCCCTAAAGGCTTTCGCCCCTCAAATCTACACTCATGAGGCGGTCATCCAGTTTTACGGCTTCGCTTTGCAAACTCGCATGGCTGTGATTTGCCTTGAGGGTCGGCGATTGTGTTTATATTCGCCAACTCCGCTGACAGACGCAGTGGCCGCAGACCTGGAGACCCTAGGAAATGTGGCGTTGGTCGTGTCACCCAACAAAATTCACAACCAGACGCTCCAGGCATACTGTGCCAAGTACCCCAACGCATTGTTGTGTGCTCCAGCGGGGCTGCGGGAGCGACAGCCACATCTCTCTGTGGCCGTGGTGCTCAGCTCGGGCATGGACTTTCCAACGGATGCAGGGGGCTGGGGTCAGGAATTGGAGGTTTTAGTGACTGCCGGCAACTGCTTCTTCGAGGAAGCAATTCTGTATCACAGCCAGTCTGGGACAATCCTAGTGGGTGATTTCGTCGAGAACCTGCGGCCTGCAACCACCCCCGGATGTTGTGGAGGCCCCCTGGTGCGTGCAAGTCGACTTGCAGGACGGCCCATGCCATCGCCGGAGTTCTGGATTTACACGCACGACGCAGCGGCTTTGGAGAGATCGGTCGAAAGAGCCGCCGAATGGGTGATTCACCGTATCTTCCTTTGCCATGGCAGCATCGTCGAAGGTGCAGATGCAGCTGCAGTTTTTGCTGCCGTTGTCAGCGAGTTGGCAAGCTGGGCACGAAGATGGGGGGACTGGCAAGTCGCTAGAGCAGTGGTTCGAGGTTTGTCAAAGCTGCAGTGAGTCTGCTTGAAATTTCGAGCCTCATGTGCAGTTGGGGGTCGTTGTCCGCATAATTCACAGATGAGCATCCCATAGGCATGAGCTGTCGAGCACCTGCTTGGTCTCGGATGAACACTTCAATGCGATGGAAGTCAAAGAGAAGTCTGTGAGTTGTGCATCATATACACTACATGTGAATACTGGGACGTACATCATTGCAGCAGGTGATCTTCATTCAGAGTTCACTTCGTTTCCTTCCTTTGGTAGCACCTCGTGCCCACAGGCACATCGCAATGCGAGGGAGGCCAGAGCTTCAAGGATGACAGAATGCCCAGAAGAAAGGCTCAGTGAAAGGAAGCGCCGTGTGCTGAGGCGGCGCAAGGAATCTTCATCCAGATCACCGGCAGAGCGTTCGAGTCCTGGCTCTTCCCGTCCATATGTGAGAGATCATGGTCTGACACAGCTTCAGGTCGGAGACCGGTGGGGAGCGCATGGACTGGCATTCCTTCGTGAGCTACCTACGAAGGCACGTAGCACCCTGCTCTCCGCGCAGTTTTCTTTTCATGCCCCGTTCCTGTCGCAGGCAAGCTCGTGCAGGAATGCCCGAGGAGCCCATCGCCGAGGCTGCGAAGATGACAAAGGTCCTCTCTCACATGTCGATCGGCGTTCTGACCTGAGGTGCCTGAGCCAGAGAACCCACCGGATCCGAAGGTCCGATTTGGAGAACAATGCCAGACTCGGGTGCTGCAGCTAACCCTGGTCTGAAGGTCCAAAATCAGGATATCCTCCGCAACGTGACGGATGCGATCCGGGCAACGGCTGCGGAAGCCATAAGCATTTTGCTCGGTCGCCGATTTGCTGTTGCAGCCATGTCGTGCATCAGCACCTGGCTCAGGTACGTTAAGTAGTGTGGGCCACAACTGGTTCGGTGCGAAGGACAGGGCTTGAGAGGGGAGTTTTCGTGGTTTCTTTGCCCCGAGCACGTTTCTACAAGTTTTCATTGAAGGATTCGAGTTCCGAGTGCGGGGCCCAGCCGAGCCTTGATCAGACAGCGAGCCATCAACAAGTTACCCCAGGCGAGGCTATGGCGGCTTCGCTGGTTACGCCCCAGGCCGCTGCGATTTCCTCGCAGATCTGGGCAGCGCGTGAAAGACCAATCAGGTCCCCCCGAAGACAAGGTGCTGCGGTTGGAGCCTTTCTGGAACACGCTGCTTGCCCTACCAAGCTGTTGCACGGGACTTAGGCACTTGTTGGAGATGGGCTATGAGGAGCCTGCCGTCAATGCCAAAGTCTTGCAATGGTGCAGGCAATTGCTACATGTGCAGTGTCTACAGTACTTGTAGCAGTTTTCAGTTTTCAGTGCGCAGGCAGCAGAGCTGCACCGCCATTCAGTTGGATGATCGCCTTTATACGGAGCTTGACAGGCCTTTGGAAAAACCTTGTGTTCGTCTGCTGTTGTGCTCGTGGCTGCGAAGGCAATATGCCCATCTTCGAGCGAGGCCCATCACAGCTCCGAGCACCGTCTTGTCACAAAGCTACGTTCGGAGGCGTGCTGCCTCTCCGGGTCGAGCACTTCAGGCAGCGAAGCCAGTGCTGGCGCCCAAGAGCGAATCAGATTGAGTTTTCTCGGCTGTTGAGGGTTACACAGAACAGTCTTGCTAAACATTTTCTAGCCTTCATCCCTTCATCCACATGCATCCTAGCTTCGAGCTTTCCAGTAATACTCTTCATGGTGAAATATGGAAAAGAAAATCATTGTGGGTCGTCTACGCCTGCTGTCGGCCTGATCCCGGCCGTTTGCAGGACAGCACTGCTGCCTTGTGCAAGACCGAAGAATGTGTAATCATATTCGTAAACAGCCGATATGAAAGCCGCATGACGCCTCACTCGTGATCATGGGGTGCTTGGGGTCGAGGAGTATCTCATTGTTAAGCATAACTGCTGTGAGGTCGTGAGGCATTGACGGCGTCGCTTGTAGAAATGTCGCGTTGGCAGTTGGCCCAAGAGGCGTTTCCCGGTATCTCACATTGCAGCCTGTGGTGTTGAGGATTCCGTGTGGCACGCTTTCTCTTCGGCACAGAGCATGTTGGATTTCCAGGGATTCCAGGGTAGTGAGTGCAACGAAGATCGCACTGCACTTGCCAGATCTGCCGAAATCTGCCCCGAGGCCGGCCTGAATGAGCCCCTGCATGTGCTCGCCGTGGCCTTCGACGGAGTGGAAAAGACTCTGCCTTTTCGACTCAGTCCCTGAGTTTAGTCGCAAGATAGCTGGTACGTAGCGTCGAAGGCAGAGTGCGAAATTCGGAGAATTTACGTCGAACCTTGCGGACATCGCCGAATTCGATCCGATCCCCCGCGGCACCGGCTCAGTTCTCGAAGAGACGCTGCGAGCTGCGAGCCGTCTGAGAGGGAGGCGTCTGCAATTTTTGCATCTCAGAGCTGACTCTGCCTAGGGTCTCAGAGGTCTGAGGCCTCATAGGGTCTCGAGGCTCGTCCACCGTGCAGGAGGATGCTTCTGCGCAGCATGAATCAGAGCTCGTCCTCGGCAGAAAGCCGGGGAGGACCATTGGTTGCCGCGGCAGCCTCTCTAGAGCCACGGACTTCAACGGAAGCCGAGAAGCTGAAGTTAATCCAAACAGCCGTCTGGCATCGCTCTTAAGATCGGAGGCTTGCAATCCTCCCCGACCCTGTCAGGAAAGAGAGCGCGAGAGCGACGTGCTTCTTTCAGGACTGCTCGGGCGCGGCCTCAGCGAGAGTTGCGATCTTTTCCTCGCGAGGACGAAGCGAGGGCGAGGGCCTTCGAGAGGCCGCCCGGCGCCCTTCTGTCTCCACGAGTGCAGAGCCAGATTGGCCCGCTCGCGCTCCAGGCGGGCCAGACTTTGCGGAATCCGTTTGCAGAGACGTTTCCAGAAGAGGAGGCTCGCGGGCGGCTTTCAACGGGTTCCTGGACTTTCCACGCCACGTGCTATCTCAGGATGGCCAGAACTTGCCCTTTGAGCTCAGGAGCTGCCGGATCGCTGTCAGGGTACAGTCTGCTCATCCCTAAGAGTCGGAAGTTTCTTAGTCGCCGATCTTGTATCTTGCAGCCGCTTTGCAGGCTTGGGCCGTGATTTCTGCATACATTGCTAACATCGGACTGCTCAGCCCGTGCTCCCGACAAGATGCCCCGTCTCAGATGCAGAACCTGTACAACCTCTATCATCCAGAGTTCATTCGATTGCGAATTTGAGTTTAAGCAACAGCCGGTAGCCCATGAGCCATGAGCTGGAGGTGTCGGAGGCACCTCGTCTGTTGTTGCTCTTTCAGGTCTTGGGTGAAGAGGTGGCATGCTTGCGAGTTTTGCATTCTACATGTGGACACTTTTGCTTTTTTGTTTTTCTTGAAGTCTTAAGTTGCACAGAGGTGCTGGGCAGAGGGTGGGTTCGTATCGGGAGCTGCAACAGGTGGCGGGGTGGGTATCCCAAGACCTGTGGTCAGAGCCATGAGGCGAACCTTTCCCTGCCCTGCTTGATCCTGTAGTCTGAAGGCATCTGAGCCCGCAGAAGGAGGCTGGCTGCTGGGCACAGGGAATGCCTCTGCTTCATTGAAGTCGAGCAACGCCTGTGAGCTTGGAGCAGGTGACCCCAATCTCTGCCCCCTCTCTCTCCTCTGTTCCCAACAAAAAAACGACGACACCCTCCTTGAGTGAACATCCCGGCAACACCTCGCAGACTTCAGTTGGCCCGAAGCCCCTAAAGCTTGGGGACTTCCCTGCGTCCAGGCCCCGACCTCCGACAAGTGGCCGAAGAACTTAAGGCCAGTGGACAAGGGCTCAATGTGCGATCCAAAGCAGAACGCCTCCCACAAGCCTTGCGAATCCCATGCAGCCATTCTCTTCTTTACGGATTTTTCTAGTCATCCTTTGCTTGCGGGCCCCGCTGTCTTCGCCAAACCTGCATAGACTGCGAGACGTTTGAGTTTCCCAACCATCTCCTCTTATCACGTTAGCGGGCTGAGGCCTTGCGCAGGTGTTCAGGCTTGGAGCTTTTAGGACCAAGTCCTGGGCGCACCGTGCTGCTTTTGTTCCCGAGCTCATTGGGGCTTGTTTTCGGTACACTTTGTCATGCAGGGCACATGAAAGAACCCCGAAACCGAAACAGGTTAATCAGCAACCCGCCTTCGGCTCCTATTTCGGCTTGTTGTCTTGGCGAAGGGGGATGGACCCCTATGACTTGTGGCGTTTTGGGCTTCATACTTCTGTACACCGAGTTCCAATCTGGTACGGATTCGAGCACTTCAACGCAAGGATTTGCGATTCCAGCACTAGCGACTTGAGGCCCGATTAAAGCACCAGCTGAAGGAAAGCACGCCACCGGTTCCGGCACCGGATTTAGAACACAGGATCTGCGCACACGGGCAATTCAAGCACTGGCAAATTCGAGCACTCAAAGTGTGAAGCAGGGTTTAGGGTTTGAGGGTTGCAGGTGTCGGGTTGAGGGTGTCGGGTGTTTAGGGTTGTGGGCTTGAATAGGGAATAATAGGGATTTGGGAGATATGGCTTGAGGTATGGTATGACCAGTCAAGGTGAGGCAAGTGTTTTGGGTTTGGGGCTTCAGGGCTTTCGGGTTAAGGGTCATATTGCTTAGGGTTTTAAGGTTTAGGCTGTAGCTAGGGTTGCTTGGATGTCCAATATCTCAGCAGTAGGTCTGGCCTGGCCTGAACACAAATCCACAACATACTGCAGCTGGCAATTGTTGTTTGCTGAAGATGTAGCTAGTTCATACCTACGACTGTCGTTGGCTCAAGTAAAAAGTTTCGTATGCATTCTGGCTGCTCTGCCTATAAACATAAAACCCTCAACGGCAAGC